AATTGAGACAAAATATGGAAATTTGATTCAAAACAGTAAGAATAAGGTGTTCGATCAAGAATGTCCAAAAAGTCCAAATTTTAGTCCGAATAAATTCAAATCAATCCTCTAAGCTGCTGTAATCTGTGATACCAATTGATAATCCCAAAAAGATTAATCAATAACAATTCATGAAACAAGATCAACAATTTGCACAAAATATGATTGTAGAGAGAGAGAGATCTTTAAGCTCCAATGTATTCAAACTTCAAAGTGATTACAGATGATAAGCGTATACTACTAATACTAACTCTAACAAAGCTCCTATATATATACAAGAGAAAGCACACAAAGCTAAAAGCTTGGATGCAACGATTAAGGCTCAAAATTTGATCCTAACAACTTTCATTAAATTTAGGTCAAACCTGGAAAGTATATTAAGCTAGGAAGGTTCCCTTCCTCATTCCCTTGCAGGATAAGGTTTTACAGTTTCACCCTTAATCCCCCCTCCTCGAGGAGGGGGTGGGTATTTAATCTACTTGAAAAGGTTTGATCTACCCCATACTCCCTCATACAGGGGATGCCATGTACTTGCTATCACTAGGAAAAAGTTTAGTCCATGAGTAAGAACTTCTTTCTAACTTGTTGAACACATATTCTACTAATATTGCTAGAAAAGTATTCTCAATCAACAATTTGTCGCTTATAAGACAACTCCATACTCGGGATGTGATGAGGGGATGCCATGTGCTTGCTATCACTAGGAAAAAGTTTAGTTTACAAGTAAGAACTTCTTTCTAACTTGTTGAACACATCTTCTACTAATATTGCTAGAAAAGTATTCTCAATCAACAATTTGTCGCTTATAAGACAATTCCATACCACTTTTTCACATCATGGGTGGTGGACAACCATTGAGAGTAAGATCTTTGGCCCTTGTTCATTTTTTACAGGTTCTAAACCTTTCTTCAACATAGGTGACAAAAAGTAAGGTTGCAATGGAAGAGATCAAACATGGGAATATAAGTAATTTCGTTACCTTTTTTCATTTTTCTAAAGGGAAAAAGAGAAAGTGGACAAAACAATCTTGTATTTCTAATTAAACAAAAACAAGAAAAGAATCATATAAAAATGTACATTGTTTAATATTATATATCTAAAATGTCTAATAATATTGTAACAAAAAATCTAAGTGGTTTGATTGAATTTCTCTTGGTTTATTAAAGGGTAAATTGCATGAAAAAGTAACGTACTGTTAACTTGATTTTTAATTTCGGTAACGTACTTTCAAAACTTCCATTTTGGTACCTAAGATTTAAATTATTAAACGTTTAAGTACCCGGGATTAACCGGTTATCATGCTGATGTGGCGAGTGATGTGGTATCCAACTCAGTATTAATTGCTGACATAGATATTTTAATCTAAAATTAGTTTTTATATGTCGTGGTTTATTAGAAGAAAGAGTTAATGTTTTAATCGGTTATCCATATACTTAAATATTTAAAACTTTACATCTTAGGTATTAAAATAAAAGTTTTAAATATACATTACCCAAAATATGAATCAAGTTAAAATACTTATCACGCCCCACTAAAGCGGAAACACGAGGTGTAACAGCTTAAGGGTTTCACAACATAAGGTACAAGACAACACCAACCATAGTAAAGAAAGAAAAATACAAATGTTTACAGTATGTTTTAAAATTACAACTTTTTCAAAAGATAAATAACAAGTTGACAAAAAGAAAACAATGTGCTGCCACATGATGCCTTCCTATAATGCCAACCTTATTGACGAACACCTGAAAAACGTGCGATTAAGAATGTCAACTACTGAAATTTTTGGTGAGTTCACATGTTTTTAAATGATAATAAAAAAATGTAACTCGAAAATAAGTTTAATCCGCATAATGGATAAGTAACCGGTAGTTTGTAACGAACAAGGTAGATTGTATGAAAAATGCTAAAGCCACGAGCCCACTACCAAACCTAATGACAGCATGCCTCGAGACTACATGTTCTATCGCTAACATGTATACGAAATAATTATGCACTCACGCACAGTGTGAGTAGGGTGTCAACCAAATAGCACTATCCATAATTACCAACGGCTCAATAAATGAGTTAATAGGTAGTGTAAGAGAATACAGAGACTTAAGAGTGATAGCAAAAGAAAACTCAGGCAAACTAACATAAGCATACATACCAAAGTGCAATAGCAATCAAAATAATTTAGCAGTTTCGAGTAAATAGTACAACCGGTGCGTAATAATAGCAGCATGTTTTTCCCTCAAAAATATGAAAATAGTGAAAATGGGCTGTGAAAACTCAGCGAGATATGAAAATGACCGATTCCAAAAATCTACTGAATGCAAACCAAGGTCCGGTCCTACGAAAAATAGAGCTACTAATGAGATTTCGAGCCTAGATCTTAAGGTTCTGACAATGCTTAATATTATGAAATACCTTATGTAAAACTAAATTTTATTTGAGGTATTATTTTATGGAAAAAGAACAAAAAATAGCTTTTATTATCTTGATATTTTTATGAAAAAGAAGGATAAAGAAATTTTTAAGTATGAAAACCTCATTTTTATTTTTTAAATTTTGCTGTCGAGATTTTTAGTTACTTTATGTAACTTTTTATTTGTCTTCCAAAATTATTTAGGTCAAGGTGTTTTTACCCAAGTTAATATATTGTGTTAGGAGACTTTTGGCATATGAAACATAGTTTTTAAAGATGGATAGGTCCTTCAAGTAGGTCTCACAAGACTAGCTATCCAAAAAGTTTAGCAGTTTGCGTACTTTTTCTATGACAACTGTTTGAAAGTTGAAATCTCAATGTTTTTAGGTGAGATCACTTGGGTTTGAAAGCTAACGGACAGAGTTAAATTCCAGAAGAAATTTCACCTCATTTGGTTTAGTATTTTATAACTTATGGTCCTTCCAAGTCAGGTGTTGAAATATGTCAGATTGCTGTATAAAATGATATCAAGAGATTGTGTTCTAACTCTTGATTTTTACACATCCTTTATTTTCCTTTACTTAGATCATGACTATAAACTTTAAATCAAAAATATTATGATGAAAAACTAGATTAAATCATCAAAACATGCATGCATAAGATAAACAAAGTTATCTTGCCAAAAATGCTAAAAATGATCACCATATGTTGTTATTGAGAAATCCTTTGAAATCCAAGCCTTGGGCTTGATTTTTAGCACTCAAAACATGAAATTTTTATCACATGCACGAAGTTTAAAATAGGTATTTGATGAGTATGAAAGATTTTTATGTTTTATTTTGAAACCTAAGGTGGCGTTTGGTTCGCAGATTCTGGAGAAATCTGATGAAATTGGAATGTTGAATTTCATTGACCAAATTTCATTCTTTCGTTTGGTTAATTCTTTTTCACGAAAGGAATATTTAAAATCCTACAAATTCCACAAATAAAGGAATTTAACATTCCTTAGCAACTACATGGTACTTTGATGAAATGGAATATCTATCTTCATTATACCAAATATGCCCTTAACCTAATATACTATAATCTCATAAAACTCAATATGACCATCGTAGACCACCTCTCGACCACTATTGATTTGAACTACCGCCTACAACCACTACCGACTACCATCGATCCAAACCACTGCCGACCACCATCACCAATCTGAACCACTGACTACCATCGGTCTAAACCACCGCCGACCACCACCACTGACTACCACCGATCTGAACCACGACCTGAACCACCGCCGACCACCACCACCGACTACCATTGGTCTGAACCACCGCCGACCACCACCACCGACTACCACCGGTCTGGACCACCGCCGACAACCACCACCGACTACCCCCAATCTGAACCACCGCCGATCTGAGCCACTACTGATCTGATTCACCGTCAATCTAAACCACTGCCGATAACCGCCATCTGGACCACCATGTGCCTCCACTTGATCTGAACCACCATCGACTACTACCGATCTGAAGCATCGTCGACCACCGCCGACTACCACCGATCTGAACCATCGTCGACTACCATCGATCTGAACCACCGTCGATTACCACCAATCTGAACCATCGTCGATCTGAGCCACCATTGATCTGATTCATTGTCAATCTGAACCACCGCCGATAACCACCATCTGAACCACCATGGACCACCACCGATCTGAACCACTGTCGACCATCGCTGACCACCTCCATCTGAACCACTGCGGACCACCATCGATCTGAATCACTGCGGACCACCACCGTATGAACCACTGTGAACAACCACCAATCTGAACCACCCCCTACTACCGTCGATTTAGTAATGTCGTTTGGCTTATGATTATATTTGGGTTGTGTATTTTATATTGTTTTACATATTAAATAATTATTTTATTCAAGTATTTTTAGTTTTAAAAAATAAAATTTTAAAAAATGGGCATTTTGGTCGTTTACCAATATTTTATTCCAATTCTAAAACTACATTCTGTGAACCAAATAGACAAATTTCAATTCTTTAACAGATTCCAATCCAATGTCTGCCAACCAAACATGTGGTCAAACCTGACAACCTTCCATTTCAATTCCTTCAAAGTCAAATTCTTTTAACAGATTCTATTTCATTCAAAAACATTTTGCGAACCAAAGGCCACCTAAGTGGTAGAAACTTGAATACACACTTAATTTCTAAATTCAGAATGTGATGAGTCTATTTAAGATACTTAAGTCTAAAACTGATCTGAATTTATTTTGATGAATATCACAATACATTACTTTTTCATACAATTTACCATTCGTTAAATCAATATTATGGAGAAAGATTAGAAACAATATGAAGGCTAGAATGCCCCCAAATACCCTTTATGTAAGTCAACAAACAACCAACCAATCTTCACCGTTGATTAATCACCTTTGCACTAAAAACTGCCACATGTCCACATCCTGTAGGAGCAAACCCTCCCCAATTAAAAAAGATTTTAAAGAAATTTTGTGTTGAAATAACCCTTCTCAAAATTTTCCCCAAATTCTCTATCTTTCTCTCTCACCGGACATAATCGGCCGGTAAATACAGTCGCCGCCGTGTGTGATCCGTTCAACCCTGTGCACTTTTGTGTCCTCTCATACATACATAAAACTTTTTTTGTTACAGTTTGATTCCTTTTTATTTTTATTCTAATTGTCAAATCGTTTTTCTGTTGTCGTTGCCGCCGTCTGCCGGCGCGTGTTTGTTACCCCCGACGGCCCACTTTTTCCGACGTGAGTACGACTGCTAACGTGCGCCGATTTTTTTCTCAATCCATATATGTACACACAAACGTAATCAATCTATCTATATACGTGTATATATGGAGCCTTATTCGTAAACCAATGTGAGTCATCTCAAATGAATTTGAATACCATCTAAAAGTCGCTCACTCACTCATCGGTTGATTGTGTTTTTGAACTGCTATCGTGACCTAATTTAGGGGTTTTCTTTTGTAGATTTAGGAACTCCAATGTGCTTTATGTCTTTTCTTATGGTTTTGGTGCTCCATCTTCGTAGAGTGACCGATCCACTGTTTATGCATCCAGGCCAATTGAATTCTGCTTTTATGGGTGTCCATATCGTCTGGATCGCCCTTTCCCTCCTGTGTACTTTTTTAATTCGCTATTCACGTGAAGAGTGGATTTCACTAATTATTTCTTTCTGGTTGTTTGAGTGTCACCGGACAATCCATATAGTCTTTCTATGATTAAAGCCGTAGTTTGTTCATTTTATTTTTATTCATAGATGATTGAAATTTTACACCCCTCACTCATTTTTACTAGCTAGTTTTAAATGTTTTTATGTTTGATTAATAGGTTTAAGGAAAGAAGGTGGAAGCTCGTAGTGAATAAGGGAAGCGGAAGTGACTTAGGTTTCAGGTTCCTGTCAGAATGGCCTTTTTTAGAAACTATACTAATGGAACAGTTGCAGAGGGGGTTTTGAATGACAAGCACCAGGGTGGAACCATAGAAAGAGCCGAGAGCATTGTAGGAAACCATGATTTGGAAACAACTTCTAGTATGGATAAAGGGTTTGCGACGAAGATGGAAGATGGGCAGTATCATGGCGATGGTGAACCATATTCTACGAGTAGGTCACTGAATGAGCCAGCAGCTGAGGAGGAGGATGGCTTATTGAATTTAACAGCTTCTACTACTACTACTACTGCTATTACTACTACTACTAATACAAGGAAACCAGCAGGGAGATGGGGCTCAACATTTTGGAAGGACTGTCAACCTATGCATCATAAACATGGGTCAGAATCTGTGCAGGAATCAAGGAGTAGCTCTGAATATAACATTGAAGAGGGATCTGGCAATGATTTGTCGGAAACGGATAAGGCAAATAAGGGTCAAAATGTGGATGAGATGTTGTCTGATGATTACTACGAGCTGGATGGAGATGACCAAAGTGATTCAATGCACCATAAGCTATTAAGTAATGCAGCTGGCTATAGTTCAATATCTCAGCCGCAGGTTGCTGACAATCACTTTGTGTCCAGAAAGAAGTCAAAAACTTCATCTGGGGGTGCATATGTGGAAGATGCCGATTTTGAAGATGATGAGGAGGAAGAAGATGGTAACTTGATTTTGTTTGATGCTATATTCGTATATGTGAAATTAGGTGGATAGAACTGGCATTGTATCTGTTGCTATCATGTGCACTTGCATTAAATTAGCTACTTATGTTCCCTCAATTTGCTGCAGAAGATGACCCTGCTGATGTAGATTTTAATCCTGACTTGGTCACCACAAGTGTTGGAAGAGGGAAGAAGGTTACTGCTTGTCCATTATATCGCATTTGCATCACCTATGCCTCATTATTGTTGTTTCTTTGCATGGTTGTCTTCAAATTTTAATTTTAATTTTAGTTTGGGCATATCTTATCTTTCGATTAAGTCAGTGTGAATGTATTAGCTTTTAAGAAATGCCAAATTGCCAACTGATGCAACAATTTTGCTTAAATCTTCACTGCTGCAACCCTTGTGTTCTTATGATCATTTATAGATTGTATGTCGTTAAAACGGTAATAAGACAACTTTTAATATCTCGACGTTTGAGACCTGATCCTTGTGGGTGATTTGATATCATTTGGTGGTGGTGTTGTTCATGACAGTGTATTGCTTTAATGTCCAATGCTGGTTGTGGTTGCTAGTCTAGGGCATTATTGTTGGAGTATTGGTGTACCTACATCTAGTCTTTCATGTTCTAGTGCTTATGTTAGGATTAGGTTAATATATCCTAATTTATATTCACCACTTCCTTGATTACTATGAATAGTGTGTGAGACAGCCAAACACTTTATGATTATAACAGTTGAGTATAGAATGAGCAAAAAGGTCACAATAGGTTAGTGGTTACACGTAGTTTGTTGTGGTTTTGAAAGTGTTGGCTAATTGGTGACCTGACGAGGATTAGGATCTCTTCTGGTATTAGGGCTATAAAATACATCAAGCCAGCTTGGTCTTGTGCTTGAGTTAAATCAAGTCTAGATCAAGTAGAATGATTAAATTGAATTTCAAATTGAACTCACATTTTATCCTTCAAATCTTTGCTAAAAAATTCGTTGATTTTGTGTTTCTTGGCTTGAATGCTCGAATAAGCATGTTTATCATTAATTCAATTTGTATGTTGATGTATATGTGTACATATTATTCCATGATGCTTAATTACTTCAAATTTATAAATAAGTATTTGACATTAGACTTTTATCTGTAACCCCGAAACATGCATCTATACATATGCTTGTTACTAGAAAAAAAAATTAATAGAACATTATGAAAAATCAATAAACAATTAAGACTTATTGGGACTCATATTTGGACTTGTTTCATGTGTATTTTGAATTTTTTTAAGATCAATATTCTAAACTTGCTAGTTGCCCAAAGTCAAATAAGAGTTCAGCTTGAGCCAAAAACAAACACTATTTTCCACGCTTGGCTAATGCTTGCAGAATCTGAAGTTTGGCTAGGCTTGATTTGCTTGCAACCCCTAGGTTCTATGCTTGTTGGTCTCTGTAGGGTGAACAATGTAGCAATAACATATTAGAAAGAGGGGGGGGGGAGGGTGAATACGGTACTTTTAAAGTTTTAATAAATTTCTTTTTAGAAACTTCTGTTACAAACCCATAAGTCGTGTGGAATATAAACTCATAACCTATAACAACTTCTACACAAATGACAAATGTATTCCCAAAGATCACTCAACAAATGTCCTCACTCAACCTAGAACGGATTTCTACCCGAAGTAGCATAGTAGTCATGAGGATTGAGAGTGATAGCGATGAACTCTTGTGAGCTCAAAAACTTGCAATGTATTCTCTTCATATCTTGTTTTCCGCGTTTTTGATCTTTACAACCTTAGCTTCACTTATACTTGAAAACCCCAGATGAATACACCTGGAGAAAGGTGGTAGAATCCTTAGGAAGGATTTGGAAGATCTAACATTGAAGTTCTTCTTGCTAGCTTCAACTTTAGAAATCTGCAGATGTTTTCCGATGAGTTTAGGTAGCCTCGAAGTGCATCAAAAGACAATTATGTTGCAATAAATGCTAGCCGTGTTTCATTAAATGCTCCAGGAGATGCAACACGTGAGATTAAGATTTTAGAATGACGTGTATAGCTTTTCTAGCTTATGCTGTTACTGCGGTCAGAATACAAAATATCGGTCAGGACTGATATTCGATATATCGGTCCAAAATAGTGGTTAATATAATATTTCTTAGAATTATATATTATGTATCCATCCATAAACATATCATATGCATTAATTAGAGTTTAGAAATATAGTTTCAAAATTAAAACATCACATCATCTGAAGTGTTCAAAAAAAATAGGAGAAGTGTTCAAAAACGAGCTAATCGCAAGGAATAGGTTCGGCATCCGAGTCAACATCATCTAATACGTTCACTTCTTCGTTTAGGTTAGCTTCCCAATCTTCCTCTTCTTCCCCTTCATCTCCAACATGATGATGATGATCATCATCTCTATAGCGCTCCCTTTTACTTCTTGTACTTGGTCCAACTTCTTCATTACCTCCCATTGCTTCTCGTACATCCGACCAAAGGAGGCCATCTCTTGCATCCACAAACTCTTGGAGCTCAACATCGGTTGGAACCACCCAATCATCATTTTCTTCAACATCTCTCAAGAAAATAGGATTTGAAGACTTGTTATCCTTGAGAGATTTGTAACTTGGTAAGTATACTAGAGAAGACCGAGAAGAGAGACCGAGAAGAGAAAGAAGCCAGACTGTGAAGTCGTGAACTCGTGAACTCGTGAAGATGAAAAGAAAAGAAGCAGACCGTAAGCGTGAAGATGAAGGAGATCGAGAAGGAGACATTGAGCGTGAAGATGAAAAGAAAAGAAGTCAGACTTGATTTTTGAGACCTAATATATGTGACCAAATAAAGAGCCCAAAAAACTAAGCCCATGAAATAAGAAAAACCCAAATAATTGTCTTATAAAAAATCGGAATATCGGGACGATATATCTATCAAAATATCGGTAAATATTGGGAAATATCGGTAAATATCGGCGATATCATCGGGACCGATATTTTGACCGATATTTCACCAGCGATTTTTTCCCCAAGTCCGATATCCGATATATCGACGATATATCGCGATTTTAACAGCATAGTTTCTAGCAGAGTCCAGTAACATGACTGAGTGCTTTTTGACTTTTCTCACTTATAGGGACAAAAGAGCAGAAACAACTTACCAAATAGACTACATGGGACAAGGTGCATTTGGTGCACAGACTACATCAGACTGGATGCGACAAAAAATAGTCCCATGTTTGACATGATATTGGACAGGAATGAGGTGGGACAAAAACTCGATTTTATGGGTCAAAAACTGAGATCTTCTGTTCCACCCAAAAAGGTGGAACAATGTTCAACAAAATCAACAAGACTATCTTACCTTCCATCCTGCATTCCTTGCATCTCTCTGAACTTCCATCACCGCCATCTCTCAAAACTTCCATCACCACCATCTCTCAAAACTTCCATCACCACCATCCCTCCATCTCTTAATTCGCTCCTGCACCACTGTCACTTACTGCTGCACCACCACTATTCTCTCCCTCCATTATCATCACTGCTGGTCTACACCTTCTAGCGACGTAAAACTAACCTCTGCAGGTCTCCAAGCTTCGTGTGGGTTTAGAACTGGAGGAAATGATAAGGGTGGTTTTGGTTTTTGATCTTGAAGCTTTGGTGGTGTGATGGTGGCTATGGGTTTTGATCTTGAGACTTCAGTGGTGTGACGGGTGATGGAAGGAGTATGTGGTGTTTGTGCGAAGAAGAAGATGAGAGATGAAGGAGATGATGTGTGGCAGATGAAAATCGTATCTCAATCAAGACTTTTGCGTCAATGAGATATTGGCTCCAATGTTTGTGCATTATGTATAATTAAAAAAACGTAAACATTAGATTTTAATTTTTTAACAGAAAATGAAAAAAATGTAATGCACTCAAATTTTAATAAATAAAATTGTTTATATATTTGGCTGATTTGTATCATATATAATTATTATATGATAAAAAGGTATTACATAAATATTTTAGGGGCAGTCTGGTCATTTGAACAGTTCTGTCTAGTTCTGTTCTAGTTGTATCAAATGTATAGCCCTGTCCGATCTTGGCCAGTTTATCCTGTCCCCTTTAGTTTGCTTACCAAACGCTGCCTCAAAATCCATTGATGTTGTGAGCATATCTTTATCGGTGGTTTAGTGCATTACCTACCGATCATGATTGAGATGCCATCTGCTATTACATTAGGTTTTGACCATCTATCTACTGATGGCTTCTTCAAACGTTTTTCAGTGTGAAAGGCTAAGTCATCAGCGGTTGTGTCAACGAATGACAGACAAACTAACTAACCCATATAATAACTAAGTGTTTAGTAAATGTTTGTTGATCATCAAATCTTTATTCTAAGTGGGGCTTAACAATGCTCCATCCTTGTTCATGCTAATTAGGAGATTATCTCGCAAAAATATTTATATATCAAAGCCTAACATGTAGATGGAAAACCTATATCATGAATTAGGAATAAATCAAGTTGTTATGTGAGCATTTGTTGGTATTGCACTCAGCTAGAGCACTCTTTGTTTCTGTTCTTATCTTATAAGTTCTCTTTGAGCAATGGTGGGTTGGCTGCTGAAAAGTTACTATGCTTAGATACTCTACTTCGGTGAAAGTGGTAGATTATTTGAAACAAGTTTTAGTAGAGATCTAACCACCATATCTGAGTAACTGTTCTAGGTTACAAGTACATCAACACTCCCTGCCACAATGAAGTAAGGATTTTGGCTCTACTTAGGCAACTTAACGTTGTTCAAAAACAATTTTTATAGCAGGTTAAGTTAAAGGGTTTGAACATTAAGGATCATGCTGAAACGAGGCAGGCAGTGGAAATATGGAGAATCTCACTATTAAGTTTCATCCCATCAATAGAGTAACTGGAAATAGATAGATGGTTTTTTTGGCATCAACGATTGTGCATAGCCTCTTCAGTGAATAATGGAGAGCCAGAGTTGTTTGCCTGTTCTTATTTTGTTTTTGATTTTGAGTGCTTTTGTAATTTGTCTTGGTGTAGTGTTGGCTCCCGGACAGTTTTTTTTTTTTTTTGGCTTGGCTTGGCTTGGCTTTGTGTTGTTGCTTCTAGGCCTGCTACATAGTTGTCCAGTTCTCTTTTCCATTCTTTTCTCCGGGTAATCCTGGATTTTTGGTGGGCTTGTATATTCATTTGGCTATTTATTTATTTTCCTTCAGAGTAAGCTATCAATGGTTGTTACTTTGATAAGTGAAGGATTTTATGCTTCTAGGTGTTGTACTGTGCTAATGTTTATACAACTAACTTTTTGTTCGCAGTGCTCATTTTATTGGTTCTGGGAAAGAAAAAAATGTTTGCACTCGATTTTCATTTATTGAGCATTTGAATACATATTTTGACATTTCAAATTATTGTTGTGTGTTGGTATTGGTAATGTGGTATTTTGCTGATGCTATTTGTCTAGTTCGAATGTTGGATTTAGGATTTCATAGCTTGGTGGGATATTAGTAGGGTTTCTAGTACTGCACGTGCATGTACTGTATCCTAATATTATTGTCCATGCATACTCTTTCGCACACATAGACACTCATGATTTATCATTCATCCACTCATAACTTGCAGAAGCCTATATTTGCTTTTTCATCTGCTGATATATTGTAACCCATAGGCAACCTGCTAAATGGAGATTAAAGTAATAACCTATCATCTGCATTGTTCTACAATAAATGCAGGCTTTCTATTTCACTACTGCCTTTATGTTAATAATTTTCAGGAGAACTGTCATTGGCTATCTTTGATGATTGAGCACTCAAGCTTATTGTACCTTTTTATGGATGTAGAATTAATATTAACTAGGAACATGGCATATTGAGCATGTTTGTCTTTTCAAGCGCATGTTAGAATTAATAGACAGATGTTTGACAATTACAAGTGACAGACCATGGGCTTGCTAGTTCTGTTCCTCCATTTAGGTCTATGTCTATTGGATTGGGGAATGTGAACTGGGGGAATACAATTGTTTGTAATTTTCAAGTTTGCATGTACTTTTACATTTATGATAAAACATATTTGATTCATGAAATCATTTTCTGTGGGTTTGCTATGAGCACAGTTTAAATGCTGCACTTTTGTGACCTTCAGGAGCATGACGAAAACTGGGAAGGAGAAGGTTTTGACGAAGATGATAATTCTGAAGATGATGAATTGGAAATCTCAGATGATGATTCTTATAAGAAACCAAGTGGCATGCAAAGGCAGAAGCGTGGGCGTAATAGTTTAAAGTCTAGTAGAGAACCTAAACCTTCTACATCTTTCAGTCGGAGGAAAAGAGGTAGGGCATCATTTGATGAAGACGACTCGTCAACAAATGATTCAGATGATGATATTGAAGAGGACTTCAAAAGTACAAGAAGGAGAAGTAGCCACCCTCGGAAAGACCCTGGTGGTCGATCTATTTCTACAAAAGGTTCTGGGAGGATCAATGAAATTCGAACTTCAACTAGATCGGTGCGGAAAGTATCATATGCTGAAAGCGAAGAAAGCGAAGAGCATGATGAAGATATCAAGAAAAAGAGCCACAAGGTGTGGATTACCCATAAATGCACATATATAATTATTCAGATGCCTGTTTTAGTAGTCATATGGTGTATATTTGAGGCAATAGTTTACATTGTATTAATGCTGAAGGCTTATGAGAAAGTTAGCTGCCTTGTATGATGCAGATTATGGTGGCTTTTTATGGGTATATCATAATTTGATGAATTTTCAACTTTAGATGGTCTAGATCCAGACTTAACATTACGTTTCTTACTTGAGATGGCTTTTAGATGCATATGCTGAATAGGTGTATGCATGCATGGGGATTATGTCAAGGATATATACGCATGGGTTTTTGGACAACATTTGTGTCAACTGATGTTGATCAGTTGATCTGACCAAACTTTTGTGTTTCTGGGTAATTGAGTTATCTGTAGCACTAGTAATGATGAACATTAAGTGTAATAAGATGCAGTGGTGGAGATCTTAGTTTTATATAGTTGTAAAGTTGGGTTTTGAGTTCACTTGGCTATAAGTTGCCCTTCTTTTGATTTTTCCTGTTATTTATATATTTTGTGTATATGTAAATCAGCTGACAGTGCTCATTCGTTTTGTCCACTATCTAGATGTGATATTATATAGTATATTCCTGTCTTTCTCTCAGTCTATATTAATTTCTGTATCCTTTGTGAGGTAAGGATGAGATGGAAGAGGAAGATGGTGACTCAATTGAGAAGGTGCTGTGGCATCAGCCAAAGGGCACAGCAGAAGAAGCTGTTCGAACCAACAAATCTACAGACCCTCTATTATTGAACCAGTTATTTGACTCAGAGCCAGATTGGAATGATACTGAATTTTTTATCAAATGGAAAGGCCAGTCACATTTGCATTGTCAGTGGAAATCATTTTCTGAACTACAAAATGTATTTTTCAGTTTCTATGCTTATTCCTTAAGGTGTATCATCTGCATTGCTAAAGTTTTGTATCTGATTTTCTTTTTAATCATTCTTGTTTTTGTTTTTGGACAGCTGAGTGGCTTTAAGAAGGTTATAAATTACACTAAAAAGGTTATGGAGGATATAAAGCACAGGAGAACAGTATCTCGTGAGGAGGTAATGTTGGCAATGGATTCTTCTTGATCTTAATATTTCTTATGAAGTCTAATTTGATTATTTTATTTGTTTGATAGAAAAGTAGATCCGTAATGCTTGTGTCAAAAGTTCACTTACATTCTGACTCCCTTTGCCCCTCACATGTACTTACTGTACCTTATACATGGAAGTTGTAAAGGTAACACATATTGGGTGTTTTTAGTTAAAATGAGAAGTTAGGTTCAGAAGTGATGTAATCATCAATAATGAAGTTCAGCCTGTGGTACATATATAATCAATAGAGCATGCATCACTCATGAAACTTTGAATTGGCAATAGAAATTCAATAGTGATGTTATCATCAATAATGAGTTCACCAGTGGATGTAACAGATAACATAAATTGGTTGATGATCTCATGCGGAAGTGAGGTGCACTCTCTAGTCTCCTTCACATAATGTTGATGCATATTCTTCACTTTGTAGGGATACATTAATTGTTTTTTCACATATTGTAGCTTGTTACCTCTTGTAGCCAATATATGTAGGCTAATAGCTAATAGAGATGCAATAATGGCTTTATAGTCTAATTTCATGGGGTAGAATAAAGCATATGTTCACTATAAAGACTTTGTGGGTGGGAGTTGATGGGAAGTACGTTGAATGACATTTCTTTTATGCTTCAACCATCATAATATAGCTTTGTTATGAAGATGCTCATTTTTCTAGGAGTGAAGATTTTAATACGAACGAAGATATTGAGGATGTCTAAGTTGTGTTTCCATTAGCATCTACTCATTGAATTAAGCATCTCAAAATGATTAAAGAGGGATTAATTGACTTCCTTCAACTTGTATTGATCAACTTTTCTATAACTTTCAGGAATTTTTAATTCATTTTTATTATTATTTCAATCAAATAATTAATTAGTCATTTAGAGAAGTAATTGTGTAAAAAAATCAAGCTGTTAGTTCTCATCTGTTAACACAATTCAAAGATTATTATAATTATATATGTGTAAGCAACCTCTTATCATTAGGAGACTGAGCGCTAGGTCACTTGGCCGCCTAGATCAACCAAGTGTATGGAAACTAACATGGCAGTTGGCCGAACAATTTCAACCATATGTTTACACTTACTTTGTCTACAAAATTGCAGTAGACTACAAATTGGAGAATACTATAAATATTAGGGAAATTGTAAATCTTTCTCATCCGTTCAATCTCGAATACATGTATATCTTTGCATGAGATTGGTAATCTATTCTAAAAAACTCGATTATTTCTAATCAAGAAACTTGTGTGGAAAATTTAGTACTATATACTACAAATTCTTACATGTAGAACACAAAAGGCTGCCTGATTAAAACAAAAAAATATAGAATGTTTTTTTTCTTTAAGCTAGGAACAGATACATAGAGCATCTCCAACAGCTATGCTAAAATAGAGATTTTGGAGATTTGGGGTGTATATTCCAACAACTATGCTATACCATATGCTAAAATAAAGAAACAAAGAGAGGGTAGAAATCTCTAAAGCATTATATTTAAGAGAGAGAAATAATATTTAATTCTTTCTCACCAATAGGAGACATTGAAATTAAGTGTTTAGGAGAGAGATATAATATTTTATTAAATCTATTGAATATTTTAATAATATAGTTAATCATAGAATTGCTAAAATAGAAGAGCTGTTGGAGTTGGATGTGATTTCTTTAGATACTCTATTTTTGAAGAATTATAGTATAGTTGTTGGATATGCTCTTGTCATCCCAGCTTATGATTTTCTTATGAAAATGCTGAACTTGTCAACTTGCCAAGCTCTTAGTCAGGTCTTAACTAGTTTATTTTAGGTAGATACTTGAGGAGTACATATTTTGTGTGCTTGATTCCGGAGATAGGCATGGACCAGTTCTAAAAAGCCTCGTCAGATCTGGTCAACGGCATGGTTAAGCCAGTTTAAAAAAACCTGGTCTTGTCTGAGTCTGGCAGGGTAAGGACTGATTTAGGCCTTGATCTGGACTGGCCTTGTTCTGGTCTGGTTTTTAATTTTTATAAAAACCGATATTACATATAATAAATATTCGTTTTACAATTATAATGACTTCACAATTCATTTATTGTGTCAAACATTATAAAATACAAATATTCAAATGAAATTATGGAACTTTACTCAAATTAAGTTATTGAAAATATACGTAAATACTCTTATAGATTATAAAGTGAGAACATATGAAAAAACATAAAAAATACGATAATTAAATAATTGCACAACATGAAATTACTACAAAGTTTATAAATATTTGGTATTGATCGTTGAATTATGTTCTAATTTATAAGAAGTGTATTGATTTTGATTCTGTTCTTTTTTATTAAATTTATTAACTTTTTTGAACAAATATCTAATTTTTTATAAAAAAATTAGTTGTACCCAATCTGGTATGGTCCAAAATATTTTCTGATCTGGGCTTTATGCAGTCCTAAAGTTACCGGTTTGGGGCCAGTCCTTCTCAAAAAGTTTGGACCGGTCCGGTCTGGACCGAACGGTTGGGCTCTTTTGCCCATCTCTACTAGCTCCCATTGTTTTGGACTTAATTCACAATGTTGATTCAAGATTTATTGCCTCAATAAAGTTTCATTGATGTCTGTGATTCTATCTTCACATGGTTCTTTTTACTTCTCCAAGTTACCGTATTCCCCTGAAGAAATGTACAGTTTTCTGTTCCATCCTTGTGCTTCCTTGTATTACCATACCTCTATTAGGACTACTTTTTCAATATTGCATATTTCTATATGCTGCATGGAGATGACTCTCTTTAGTGTTTTGCATCACAATACTGACACCACATTTTGTGTATGTGACAGATGGATCAATCATGATGCTAGTAACATGCCATTGTCTACTAGCATCTGATTTGGCTCCATGAAATTGTCAGTGAGTCAAAACCCAGTTTGCCTCTCTCTTCCAGCAAGTGAAGGACATAGGACATAATTATGTTTTTGCAAACAAAAATCCCCTTCTTGGATCAGCAATTTCTTATGGTTTTCGAAACAAAAAATCCCCTTCTTGGACCAGGCATTTTTTGTTACAAAGAAATATTTGAGTTCCTGGTGATACTGTATCTTCAGCTCTAAGTAACTGCATAGTGCTTTATTCTCATCAAAATCATTTACAGTTACCATAATGTCATTGACCTAAACTATAAAGACCGAAATGTTGAACTTGAATGCCTTGATTGATAGTGTTACAGTCAAATTGACGTCATATATTGTTCATAGCCAACAGTGCGTTAGTGAATCTTTAGAACCATGCATGAGGAGATTGTTTAAGCCTATATTTTTTTTTTTGCTGTGGTCCCTGCCCTTTGGCCCAACCAGTCTATGAAGTCCATGCAAAGTGCCCCTCCACATGACTTTCTGGCTTTCTGTTCAGCAGGTTTTTCACCCCCGAAGATTTGATAACATTCGAATCTCGGACATATGATACACAAGTCTTAAACCTTACCCAATAGGCTAACAGCTACCTATTGGGTTTGGAAGCTTAATGCAAAGTCCGTGTTCCTGTCGACTTGCACCTTCCACAAAATAAGAAAGACAGGACAGTAGATTGGAAGTGAATATAAGCCCATATAATGCCTTTTTGGTGTACACACTTCATTGGGACTCTGATATTTGTGCATGATGATCCTAGTTCTATGCTGTTTCTGAACTTCATCAGTCGAGGATTATTTATGCATTCTTTGGCAACTCTTCTTGTTGTTTGTGACATGTTGCTTTTCCATTCTGTGTAAAACATAACTTCATCATGTAATTGTCCAAGAATCTTGTAAGGTTTGCAGAACTGGCATTTTACTTGCCTGCTCCTTTTTGATATCAGGGACTTACATTGTTATCATTGTAATTTCTTTGTTGCTTGAAGACAGACTTAATTATTCTTATTTTGTATCTTTATTTGTTAGATTGAAGTCATTGATGTGAGCAAGGAGATGGATTTGGATCTTATCAAGCAGAATTGTCAGGTTTGACATCATAAGCAAATTGGGCCATTTCTTGCACTCTTTTTACACTGTTCAATGTTATGCTAGATTTTTATTTTTACTCTTTTTATCTATTTGTGCCAATTAGGTCGAGAGAATAATTGCTGACAGAATCAGCAAAGGTTCGGAAGTGCCAGAGTATTTGGTTAAGTGGCAAGGTCTTTCCTATGCTGAAGCAACATGGTATATAGACCCAATTAACTTTTATGAATCTTAAATTTGTTTTTTCCCAGTTATATTATATATTAATAATTTTGCTGTTTCATGTTAAAAGTTATTTTTTTTAGCTCAATTGGTATTAACGGAACATCTTTGTTATTTTTTTGTCGTTTTTAGGTCCATTAGGTGTATCATAAAGGTGTAAACTAAACTAACAACAAATCATATATATGTTTATTTTTAATTATTAGTATACCGTTTAAACTTAAATGGACACACAAGAACAGAGTATTAGTTTATTTTAGCTTTTATATATGAAAATTTTGTGTATGCTTATACTCTATAATAACAAAAGCATCTGCTTGTATTAAAATTGCCTTCATACCATGAAACTGTAGCAGTTTATATTTTAAAATACCATTAATTGCAATTTCTCTTTTGGGAGCTTTAGAGCTAAATCACATATTCACCCATTTCATGATTACAAGAGTTCTTATATCATTATTTTTGGTCTAGATGATGTACTTTATTTTGAAAACCCATGGTTAATTTTAAACACTTTTCCTTTTGTTTTGCTATGCATTCAAGGTCAATTGTTTCAGTTTTCATTGGCTGTTGGGGGTCTTATTATTTGATTTCTTTCTGATTTTGTTGTTACCTTTTGTAGACACTGAAAAGCAGAAACCCTTATGTCATTATTTTCTCTAAAGTCTAATAAATAAAAGGGATACATAGTTTTTTTCTTTTTCTGCCACTGCATCGAATTTTTCAATATCTAGCAATATTATTCTGAGACTCCTGCCTCTGAATGCTCATATTGATATTATATCTTCAGGGAGAAGATCAATGATATTTCTTTCGCTCAAGCAGCAATTGAGGAATATAAGGTAATGTCCTGACGTGACTGTGTTTTTGGTTTGATGTGAAGCATTGTTCGAGTTGTATTGACATGATTTTTTCTTCAACTCATGTTGCATAACAAATCATCTTCCATATATTTGCTTGCAAGGCTATATGTAAGAAAGTGATTATGGCACAATGTGTTTTTTTTGTTACAAACTGTATTTTTTATAATAGTATAGGTGATGAAGCTGGTTTCCGATCAAGTATTGTTTTTCTATCACGTATTATTGTGTCACTTGACCTTCTATGTCCCAATATGCCCGTTGGCATTTGTTTACCTTTGGGAAATAACTGCTCTCTAGCACTATTATGGGTTTTGATTTTTCAATTTTGAGGCAGGCTCGAGAAGCTGCACTTGCTGCTGTACATGGAAAAATGGTAGATTTCCAGCGAAGAAAGAGTAAAGGTATGCACTATTTTCTTCAAGTTGCAGTTGTTAATTCCTTACAGATCATATTATAAGGACTGTCAAAACACCATAGAAGGGAAGTTCAGAAATTCACTGAAGAGGGCTTAGTCGTGGATATGAGAATTGGTTATCTTCTAGGAAAAAAGCAGTTCTCTAAATCAAGAACACAAATTGACATGCGATTGCTAGTATTTGTTAGGTTGCTGTCATTTTTCAGTTTACCAAATGAAACCAAAGAATCTCACTTATGCAAGTTAAATCAATATATTTGAGATGGCCCTTTTTAATGGATAAAAATAAACTACTAGTCAAGGTTTTAAAGAGCGAAAATGAGCCTCGAGGTGTTATCCCATTAGGTACGTGAGGCATAAGCCCCAAAAAACAAACAAAAAAAATTCATAATTGTATAACACTTAACAAAACAAACATAAGTCCATATATGCATTTATGCAGTAGTATATGGCAGCATAATACACCAAAAACAGAATATATATATATATATATATATATATATATGTATGTATAGGGTCGGGTTCAAGGGAGAACCACAAAAAAGTGAAAAACTAAGGAACATCCTGGTACCGTTCATCTGGACGGTATGCACCTGTGCATACACGTAATTTGTAAGCTATTTTTTCAGTATACACATGTGCATAACATGTATATGTGCATATTAACCAAGAAATAGCTTCAATTTACTTGTATGCACATGTGCATACTGTCCAGATGAATGGTTACCTGGGTGTTCTTCAATTTTCATTTTTTTAGAGGGTTTTTCCTTGAACCTCACTCTATATATATGTATGTATGCAGTTACACATGTGACAGCATAATACACAAAGACAGAATATATATATTTATAGTGAAAATACATCAAAAGTTAATCCGAAATTAAAAAACAAAATAAACAAATACAGAAGTTTTAAATATAATATTATATATTAAACATATATAGAAAAGCACAAAAAAGTTGATCAGAATATTAAAAAACAAAATAAACAAATACAGAAGTTAATAAATATAATAATATGTTACATATTTAACTACGGGATGAAGAAAATGTATACAAAATGATATATACATATATGAGGGTGTGCAGACCCGAACCATCCGACCGAACCCGAATCAATATATCTAAATTTTGTGGGTATCCGAAAATATGAAAAACCCGACCTCCGATATCCAAAAAATAAGTAGGAGTGTAGGTTTAGGTTGCGTTTGCATTTGGGCACCCGACCTGCCCGAATATCCGAAAATTTTCTAATAGGATGGGCTGCCTAATTATATAAAATATATACTTACCGCCTAAAATCTTAATCCTAATAATAGGCGCCTAATTTTCCAAGCACCAAATCACTGTATCACTCTCACCACATAGGTCCACAAACAAAGGCACAAATCCTTAAAAATTAAATACCTAATTTGTTTACTTTTCTATCCTGGTTGTGGTTGCTGCACGTCTTCACAAGTCACAACAGAGTGCATGCATGAATACCTGATCGATCGGCTGGTGGCTGCATGCAGGCCACCATCCCACTCAGAGACGATTAGACGTTGGTTTACTGAAAATCTGAAATGCATATATACACATAAAAAAACTGAGCTTATAATCTTCATGGAATCAAGCTCCTGCTGCTGCTGCTGCCTTCTATATATACCTAACCCGAACAACCCCCCGAATCCGACCGAACCCGATGTCCTCCGAACCTGATTAAACCATACCCCGAAGTTTTTCAGTTCGTGTGTGTGTGTGTGAGAGAGAAGATTGATGGCAGTTGAGAGAGAGAGGGAAACAATTGGTTGTTGGGACAGAGAGAAGATCGATGGAAGTTGAGAGAGGGAAACGATCAGTTGTTGCGAGAGAGAAGAAAGGGGTTGAGAAATACAGTTTAAAAGTCATACGCCTTTCAACCGCCTCAGCCACCTCAATCATTGTCTCATGCCACCTCACTCAGCCAAGGCATACGACTCAGTTAGGGCTTGAGAGGCGACGCCTCAAACTCGTTTCTGGACCGCCTCGCCTCAAAGGCGCATGCATCTTCCGTTTTTTAAAACCATGCTACTGCTAAAAGACCAAAAGGAAAATGAAAATATTCATGTTTCTAGTATCATGGGTATCCAGTCTTTGTATAGTTTATAGATGGTGGTGTTTTTTCTTAAGAAAACCACATACACTTGCTAATGACTGAAGTTAAGGGAAATGGAACTTTGCCATTATTTTTTACGCTTGGGGAGGAGGTTGAAATATGTATGCGTCCTTTTCTATTTAAAAAACAATCATTTCTGGAGATAGTGCATGATTTAGCCAAAAGGGAGGGAAGCATTTGCAGGTGGTTGTGGAGAGTATATATTGAATTAATGTATGTTATGATACAGTTGATGATATTAGATAACGTAACCTGTACTTCTATCTGTTACTATTTTTTGTTCATGTTGATTGTGGTTCTTGTCTTATCAGATATGCAGTTTTGATATTTTTGAATTATAATTTTTATTCTTATAGCAAGTTTGAGAAAGCTTGATGAACAGCCTGATTGGTTAAAAGGAGGGAAACTGAGAGACTATCAACTCGAGGGCTTGAATTTTCTCGTTAATAGGTATGTCATACAAATACCTCCATTAGAGTTGAATTTTGTTAAATGAAAAAAGTGAAGTAGTATGGATTAACAAAGACTTTCTAGAGAGAAACCAATATTTGTTTCATTTAGATCTGTACTTATTAACAATATTCACAGTGCAGTTGGAGAAATGATACAAATGTCATATTAGCTGATGAAATGGGTCTTGGCAAAACAGTTCAGTCAGTTTCTATGGTTGGTTTCCTCCAGGTACTCATATATTTATTTTCTCACATATTTCTGTCAATTTGCTTCACAAAGTTGATTAATTTCAGTTTTATTCTGTCCCCACAGAACTCACAACAAATTCATGGGCCTTTTCTTGTTGTTGTTCCTTTATCAACCTTGTCAAATTGGGCTAAAGAATTCCGAAAGTGGCTTCCTGATATGAATGTGATCATATATGTTGGTACTCGTGCCAGCCGAGAGGTAGGTTATGTTAATGATGAAGCTTAATTTTGTGTTCCATGGGAACATTTAATGTTGTCTGGTCATGGTCTCTGTGAAAATCTTCTGCATTGTGGTGAGGTGACCTTAAAATTGGTATCATAATGTACTTTGTCAAGTGAATTATGTATGGTATTCTATTTATTTGAGGTTGATCCTTGTTGAAAGTATGTTGCTTTACTTGGTTACTAAGCCATTGAAGAGGGGAATGATGTATGGCGGTTGCTTGGCATTGTGGTGTGATAATATTGTCAATCCCACATAGGATGGGGAAAATGAGAGTTTTTTGTTCTACAACAAACGAACACATCAACTGTCACTTTCTATAGCTTATCGATCTATATGTGGTCTGAAAGAAATTACAATTGTTCTTTTTGTTTTGGAAAATTTGTTCCGTCTTAATTGTTTTCTGTTCCAAACGACTGAAAGAGGAGAATGTTCCATCATATTCTGAACAAGATACCCAAGTATTAATAATAAAATGCAGTCTTGGAAGTTGTCTAGTAATAAAAGCAAACCTACATAGTACATCCTCATGGAGAATATAATTCATGTTTCAAATGGCAAGACTTTCTTTTTCATTTATACTTTGAGGGGGAAAAACTTATTTATTATTGGAACGCTGGAGCTTGAGAACGTTATAACTGTAACGATTATTATAGCAGTACATCAAATTTTCATGGCTAGCACAAATCAGTTGGTTTGTAAATTATGCTTGCAGTTCTATATGTTGGTAGGACCTCACATTTCATCTGGCCAAGAGTATATCGTTGGGAATAATTTGAAATTTGTCCTACTTTTATGGCTTGCAAATAGTTATGCTGCTATATCTTCAAAGTTGTATGTGTATTAATTCATCAAGACAAAAACGAAGGGTAGAGGTATTTTTGTTTTGCGAGTGTAATATGATCATTTTCTCTGCTGGATGTTAGTTAATATACAGAAGCATGTGAGTAATTTTCAAAGCTGAACGTATACTGTAAATTACATTCTTTGAGGTCCTGGTTAATTTTAAACTCCATTCGCAAATCCCAAGTTTGTCTATGAAGAGCAGATCTAATTGTATTAGTATCTATAATTGATTTCTTCTATGTAATACTAATCGGTAGGGCCTCATTAGTAAGTGCTACAAGATCTTGTGCATTGGAACTCATGGTTATATACCCAAATCCATTAGTATGGAACATTTTCCTTTCAAGTGAAATCCCCTAGTATATGAAAGTGTGAACAAATGCTTTCATTGTTGTGGAATAAGAAGCCTTCATATCTTGATGCACATTTATATGATCTTTGATTCCTCCTTTTTTCTGTTTTCTTTACCTACTTTTAGTTTTTTCTTTGGGGGGGGGTTGCGGCATATTGTCTCTCTTGGATCTTGCAATAGGTTGGAACTTGGAAGATAAAAACAACAATTTTTGTCATGTTCGTGTATCAAAATATTAGGACTTTTGGAACTTTAAAGGAGGCAACAAGGGGCCACATTTTTTGTCTGGTGCATCTCTTCTGTTGCTCAATGAGGGGTATCTGCCTGCTTGTTAACTATGTCTCTTGTGATGCTTTAGCTTTTATGATTCTTGGCGAATGGTTATAAATTGGATAAGTATAACTGGCACTTTCTTAACATCAGGTTTGTTTATTTTTTAATTATCTTAGTGTTATTGAATATTGTACAATGCAGCTTGCCTTTGCTAACATCAGCTCAGCTTATGTGTAATTTTGCATTTTGTATGAAAGGCCTTTTCATGTGTTCAATATCCCCATGTGGTTATAGGTTTGTCAGCAATACGAATTTTTCTCTGATAAGAACACTGGTGGCACTACGAAGTTTGATGCGCTATTAACTACCTATGAAGTTCTATTAAAGGATAAGATGGTGCTATCAAAAATTAAGTGGAACTATCTTATGGTTGATGAAGCACATAGGTTGAAAAACAGTGAGGCGTCATTATATACAACACTAAAGGTATGTGAATATCTTCTTTTTTTTTCTTCCTATTTTTGTTTTGTGATGATTGCGGATTCCTTTTTTGTTATGACATCTTTCATAGGAATTCAGCACGAAAAACAAGCTTCTTATTACTGGCACTCCCTTGCAAAACAGTGTTGAAGAGCTATGGTAATTTTTATCTGTTATACTATACGGCTGTTTTCTCAATTTGTCAACTGTGGTTGTGAATGCTTTGGATTTTCTTCAATGGTGTTTACTGTTAAAACAATACTAGCAAGAATTTTGGAAGTTCTTACAACTACAGTGGCTTGGTTATTGAATTAGTATAACTCATTTTTTCTATATGTTATGTCATCTTCTGTATTGCTTTGTCTCTTCTTTGTGTGCAGTCATGCTTTGCCGACCTATTGTGTTAAGAGAGGAAAGTATGAAAGAATCTTAAACTGAGCACATTGTTAAGATTCTAGTATGAGAATCTAGAATCTCACTTTTTTAGATGAGAAAGAAATCTAATAGCTGATGCATGCATTGTCTTCTTCTCTTAGGCAGAGTATGGGATCAGCTAGTGACTGCTTCTCCTGATGTTATTATTGACATGCTAATACCTGGCTCTTATTAAATCACCCATCCCATGGGTCATATAAAGGCAATTCAGTTAATTGGCAATATAAAGTTTATTGAAATGAGATGCGTACTATGGCGATGCAGTCTCTTTGTAGCAAAAAAAACATCTTATTTATCATCAGATAGAATCAATGTTTATGTTTATTCTTGTTAGGCTTTTTGGGTGTATACACTTTTGTCAATACATAGTTTGGCGCAATTGAGAATTTGAACTACCCCTAGTTGGACTTTACACAAATGATAAAAGTTGTCACTAAGTGTTGTAACTAAAATAATTGCCACACTTACTACCCTTTGGACTTATGCTATGTGGATGAGAGAAACAACTCCCCACTTCGTATATGCTCTTGACATACGTATAAGCGATAATTAAATTTTCTTCTTTTGAGAAAGTTGAAATCTGTAATATCACTGTCTTAAATAGAACGACAACTGAAAGGGGAGCATATTGAAACTAGTTATTCTTTTGCGTAGAACCTATTATTTGACTTATATACTTGTTCTTTTATGCAATGGCAGGGCCTTGCTTCACTTTCTCGACTCAGATAAGTTCAATAGCAAGGATGAATTTGTTCAGAACTACAGAAATCTTAGTTCGTTTAATGAAATCGAGGTACCAATTGTGCTTGTACATCTTTTGGCATTTACCTCCCCAGATCCTCCATGTATCTTGATATGGTTGGAGAGTTTTTTTTGTGTTTGTGTCTATATGTTCTCCCGGCAAGCACCCTGATAAGAGGGAGAGTAAGAAAGTCTCTCTGAGCTTGGACAATTTTCATCTGTTATTTCTTTGACCCCCATCTTTATTCTTCATCTATTAATTGGGAGCCACAATAACGTTTTCACTTCTCACGACATTTCCCTTGAAATGAAAATGTTGAATGGTGAAATTGAATTCTACGTGAATGTATATTTTACTTTTTATAGCTTGCTAATCTTCATATGGAGTTGCGGCCCCACATTCTGCGAAGAGTTATAAAGGATGTGGAGAAGTCCTTGCCCCCAAAGATTGAGCGTGTTCTCCGGGTTGAGATGTCCCCTCTACAGAAGCAGTAATTTTCTACCCACTCATTGGATCTGAAGGTTCTATATCTTGCCATTTAACTGACAATGGTGCTGGTTTGTTTATTAGGTATTACAAGTGGATTCTGGAACGCAACTTTCATGACTTAAACAAAGGTGTACGTGGAAATCAGGTTAGCATTCATGTTCCTTATGTTGAAAGATGTTGTGAAAGAGGCAAGGTATGTTGACCTGCAACATTGGCTAAGGCGCACTACTTCCATGAGGTGTGTGCCTTAGTCTATGAGGCATTATGCATGGAATTGACGAAGTACATAATCATTGGTATAACTGGTACACAAACATCATAATGTTATTTGCACCAATATATGATTGTATTTTTCTAGTCTCAAACTTAACTTTCTGTATACCATTGGAAAGCTCATTTTCTGTATATTACCATCCTAATATGGCATTTGTTTGACATTCCTATCAACGGGAACGTACCATATCGTTCGTTGTCCAAAACCAAATTTGACCACATTGGTGTGATCATGTAAATGATTCATAATATGTATGTATTCATGTACATATAATTTCTCAAGTGATATCCATTTTATTGTATAAAGATTTTGAATTACTAACTTTTTCATTTACATATACATAATATGTATGCATGGCTTGAAATCTTTCATATTGATATCGGATTTATTTTCTCATACTTATGCTTGAATCAATATGTATATATATATTTTTTGTATCTACATATATCGTTCAACTTGGATATCTTTAATTTATATGAAGACTTGAATTTCCAAATGTGCCACATGTACATGAATACCAGCATGGCTTTAGGCAATGTTCTCATTTCTTTATTATTCCAATCCTATGCATATGTACTTATTCATGTTCTTTAGTAGACTATTCTATGCATATTCATGCATCTCCTTATATCATGCAAACCATATGTTCTCATATATATATAATCCTATATATTATCAACATATAGATTTGCAAATATATATATATATATATATATCAACATATAGATTTACATATACATATATATATATAGAGAGAGAGAGAGAGAGAGAGAGAGATACACACAAGATTGTAACATCCACAGGTTATCCCGCAGGTTGCTCCATATAATTTATATAATTGAATGCCAATGAGTTGTTGCAGCAGTCACCTGATTCCAACACCAGAACACTCTCTTAGTAATTAGTATACACACCCAAATATTCTCACACTAACCCTCTCTCATGCAAACATTCTCTTTTGCTACTCAAAATGGTTTATACCCTTTGTATATATATTTTGAATGATTAAGACCCTGAATTTTTAAAAAAATAGTAAACCATCAAATTTTTACTAGTCGGTTAACGTAACTTTTTTTGGGTTACAAGAATGTAGGTAACCAATTTTTATAACTGCGACGGGTTATTTATTAAAAAAATGTTCAAGGACTTGATCAATCAAAATGAGAAAGTTTAATGGCTTTTTCATTCAAAAAGAGAAAGTATATTGGTTTTTTCATTCAAAAAAATAGTTCAGGGACTCAAATCATTTAAAAATGAGAAAGTTTAATGGGTTTAGGGACTAAACCATTCAAAATGGAAAAGTTTGTTGGGTTTTTTTGAACTTTTCCCTTTATAATTTCTTACATATATTTGTCATGATATATAAGGGACAATGCCTATTGTGGTGACCAAATTATTGCAGAAGTTTCATGTAGGCTGTTCAACTATAAAAGATCAGAAGAGACCACCCAACTACAAGGCCGGGTTCATACACCAATTCTGGCCACATTGACATGTGAAAATGGTTAAATGTCCATTATGCTCTAAGAATCAATTTTAGTTTAAAAATCACTAAATGGAAACTAGCCTAAAGTGCAATGGTAACTCATTTTAAAATTGTAACTTATGTATTGATTACTTCAACAATACAAGTTCATGCATCAATGACTTGTATTGTACAACTTCACAACTCCTTTACTATCACCTTTACTCCCCTGCTGTTGGCCCATCTCCTTCCTGTCAGTTTTTTCTTAATCCAAAGTTTTTGTTTTCAGATTTTGACTACCAAAAGTCTTAAGTTAAGTACTTGAAGTTACATCTATATGTTTTAACCAACAAATGAATATAAGTCATGTGTATTTTTGTCATTTTTGGCTATTTTTCCGTGTAAATGAATTGTGTGGCTTCTTGAACTTTGCATAGTTGAGCGGAAAAAAATACATATGCAGTAGTTGGGTGGCCTCTGTAGTCATTATTCTAATATATAATGAATATTTTATTTGTCACACACCTAGCCTCTATTTCTCTGGGAGACCTTTGCATCTCAAGTGTTCTTATTTTCTGTTGATTTTCTAACTCATTTTTTTGGCATGATGCTGTGGATATTGTTCGTTTTATTGTTTTTCTTATTAAAATTTGTCTGCCCACATTGATGGTGCCATCTACTTAGTTTGTCCAACTCAAGGACTAAATGGACAGTGATGTACGAATTAATGTGAAACGTTTAACCCTGTAATAGCAAAGGCGATGTGAGTAATAGAGTTGTGGAAGGTTTTGGTAATTATGATGGTGGTAGCTTATGTAGGTCATGCTGTTAATTTTTCTTGAGTCATATTTAAAAATCATAACGTGAAACTGACCTACAAAAAGGTTAAACATTTCACATTAATCCGTATGCTTTATTCTAGGATGCACGAATCTATATGCTTTTTAATTTGATTTTGATCTGTATCAAGTCCCCAAAATGGGACCCTGCATGGTTCTAGAAGCTACTTTTTTCTATGATATTTTGTGTTCAACCTACTGCCGTTGAGATTTTTTTCCATTTGCTCTTTCTTTGGTGTATCATTTATTGACCGCATTACCTTCATGATTCGCAATTTCACTTTTGTTCACAAAATACTTTTTCCTTTCAAACTGTACTGTAATATGGACCTACATCTCTTGTAAATCTGCAGGTTTCCCTTTTGAACATTGTGGTTGAGTTGAAAAAATGTTGTAATCATCCATTTCTATTTGAAAGTGCTGATCATGGTTATGGTGGGGACTCTGCTATTACTGGTAGCAGTAAACTGGAGCGGATCATTCTTAGCAGTGGAAAGCTGGTTATCCTGGACAAGCTTCTTGACAGGCTGCACGAGACAAATCACCGGGTTCTAATATTTTCGCAGGTATTGGCAAGGAATACCCATTAGAGAAAGGTGTATTGTTTTTAAGATGTTTGCAAGGCTTAATAGATTTTGGTTAATTGGAAAAAAACCAATCCTCTGTTGCCTGATGCTACTCGTGCCATCACACAGGCACACAATGCAAGATTGTGACAGTTAAGGAAATAGTGAAGGCAGTTGAAACTGAACAGTACGCTGAGCTGAAAAGTTGTATAAGCAGACATATCATAATAAATTCTAGATAGCCACTATACTAATTCATTAGTTTATTTGTTCTTTCACGCTGATGAGTTTTTTGTTGAAGGTCATTCTCAAAAGATACCCTGTAGATGTGTGGAACGTTTGTTTCTTGATTGATTTGAAAAAGGACTTTTGGAAAGTGTGTTTATTCCACTGGCAAATGCATGTGAAAAGGTGGTTTATGGGCGAAAAAGAGTGAACTCCAAGTAAAACCTGGATAATGAACACGGACACAAGTCATATTTAATCCTAGAGTTAAGAGTGAAGTTGGAGCATATATGTTGAAGATAAATAACTTTTATTACATGCATATAGGTAACAATTTTGGTTTCCTGTGATGATTCATCATCTACCTTCTTTTGAAAATCTGACTTGCTAACTTTTTTGTTCACTTGTTGGATTCTAATTCTTGGAGATGTTAATGGTAACTCATTACTGAAGTAATTTTCGATTGGCTAGTTGCTGCTGTGTCAAACACTACCCAGGACCAATAGCAAGCAATATGTGGGACAGCTTAGCACTCAGACCTGCCACTTGATGGGGAAACCATTAAATTAAAGGGTGAGAGGGCTGCTAAAATAAGTACACTATACAAGTATATTACCACATTGTCCAGCCAAATCAAAATTTCCCCTCATAGGTTAAAACTCTATAGCAAAGTCTCTTCAAGCTCATCTTCTAGTTTTTTTAAGTGCATTCTATAATTCGATAAGGTGTGATTCCCTTGAGAGATAATTAGTGAGCTAATGTGATAGTGTTTATATTGGATTGTTTATAGACTTTATGGATAGTGCAGTCAAAAGAGTGTATAAAAGGTCCTAGATAGAAATTACCATCCACTCCTCAAAAATTGTTCTCATTCTTAATTAGCATGAGAATACGGATAGAATTATAGGTAGATAAGACGTGCCCCGGTGTGTTTAGCAGTTCAACAACGCATTGCAGTGATGTAGACCTTGGATCAATTGGTCTTGATGGGTACACAATGTCAATGAATGCTTAAGATGACTCATTAATATGGAGTGATGTTGCTAGAGGTTTTGGGAGCTTGTGAGCGTAACTATAATGTTTGGAAAAAAGAAGTGAATGTTAAGGGCAGGGGAAAGGGAAGGGGAAGGGAAGGGGAAAGGGAAGGGGAAAGGGAAATGCTAGTTCTGTTCAAGACATCAACTCGTAGATGAAGAAGGTGAAGTTGAATGATTAGAGAAGAATGGCACCAAAGAAGATATGGAGGAGTATAAATCCGATGAGGATTGAAAATTGAGTGACTACTAATCAGACTTTATTGAGCTACTTTTGATGTTAATGCTATTTGAAAATTGAAATTAAACTATGTTTATATAATGCTATCTGAGTTGTGAGTAATTGTATGTGTGTGTGTGCATATATATTGATAAAATGCGCCTCGCATTCCTGAGCATCGTGCTTTGCGCCTATGCCCCGGGACCCCTTTGCTCCTTAGTGCGCCTTGAGCCTTTAACAACTTTGGCCAGTATATATAATCTCTCATTTGAAGTGATAGAAGGGAGATCATTGGGTCCATGTCATTCAACTTGTTTTTTATGTTAACGCTGTCAAACTTTACACTCACATAAGATGAATCAACAGCTCTGTAACGTTTTTATTGTACAGAGTTATTACCACAAACTGTAATCAGAAGTACTAGTGGAAAACTGCAAATGCTGCAGACAAATATAACCTTGAATGTAAGTATGCACTAGAAGTGTTCATTTGAGGTGATAGGAAATGGGGATTATGAGTCTGGTTGCTAAGCTGTAATTGTCATGTCAAATCATGATGGAGAGTTGTATAGACCATTGACTCCAACTTTTGTCTTCCAACTTAATTGGAACGTTGATGGCATTGAGCTTCCCATTCATGCAAGATAGGTCCATTCCTTTCTTGCTCTATCATCCAAAGTCATTAATTATGGAAGTAGTCAGAGGAAAGCTATGAAGCCATAGAATCAAATATGAGTATATGACTCTGATAAGAATTACCTCCCAAGAATTATTAAAGCAGAAATTGAAGAAGATGCTTACCAAACAACCCGTCAGATCATAATCATGGAGGTAACTACTTTCTGATGAAGATTAACCGACATTCATACCACTGAACTAGGGAGAACTAATTGGCATCTATATGTGTTAACTTTCTTGAGTGATGCCTACATCTATAGATGTACAATCAGGATCATATGTGAGTACAGAGGAATCAGAGGTGAAAGCTGCGAGGGTAGTTGTGTAGGGTGTGATTGAGGTGCTAGGTCTGAGCGAATACTTGATTCATGAACCTGGGCAGATGTCGAATCAGGTGCAAGCCTGGATATGGTCAATGGTGCTATAATGGACCTAAACACACAAGCTAATTCAAACTGGTTAGAAAGGGAGGGTGCAATCAAACAGCAGGTTGTGACTGTTGTTTTCAGCAGCAGTGAGAGATTGTTGTAGGGGATTATATACAATATGTTTAAACAGCTCTGATACCATGCTGAAGAAATATATTTGAAAGGTTTGTCAATTTTATTAGTGAAGATGTTGATTTGTAGATTATAATCTGGACCTTGGGTTGAAACAAATATGTTATATTGTGTTCGTCTGACATAAGTATTATACAAAATAGAGGTTGTTTGGAGTGGATGCTCTTGTATTAATTGCTTATTTCTTCTATTTGACTGGCTTCTCTGTATCTTCAATGCAGATGGTTAAGATGTTGGATATCTTAGCAGAATACTTGTCAATTAAGGGGTTCAAGTATCAGAGACTTGATGGAAGTACAAAGGCTGAGGTGCGCCACCAGGCTATGGAGCATTTTAATGCACCCAGCAGTGATGATTTTTGCTTCCTTCTTTCTACTCGTGCTGGTGGTTTAGGTATCAACCTTGCAACGGCAGATACAGTCATAATATTTGACTCTGACTGGAATCCTCAGAATGATCTTCAGGTTGGGACTACATTATTTTGAATTTACATGCATCTCTGTACTCCAATTTACCCAGTTTGAAGATTTCTTTTATTATACTGATCTTGTATAGGCAATGAGCAGAGCTCACAGAATTGGACAGCAGGAGGTTGTTAATATCTATAGGTTTGTGACAAGCAAGAGTGTTGAGGAAGACATCTTGGAGCGTGCAAAAAAGAAGATGGTAGGTAATTAGTAGTTATTGTCTTTTGCCCTCTCTGGGTAGCGCGGTTTGCAATACTTTGTCCACTTTGCATGTGTGATGAGCTGAGATTGATTGATACATTGTCTGTAGATTGACATATGCAGATTGATCTGTTGATTGCACCTGGAATAAGTTGAAATGTTCATTTAGTTAGACTGATGCATTATTTTCTAGTCATATTGATGATATGAACTGTGAACATGTGTTTTTTTTAACATGGTCCTTGTAACGATATGCACTTCTGAAATGTTCACCTAGCATAGACTGGTATATTATTTCTAGTCATATCGATGATACGAACTGTAACTATATGCTTTTCTTTGAACAAGGTCCTTGTATCAATATGCACTTCTGCTTCGCAGCTTTATGTGCTCTTTTAAATACCAGCACAAATATGATTATTTTTCTTATGTTTTGGATTTTTCTCCTTTCAGGTACTTGACCATTTGGTTATTCAGAAACTAAATGCTGAGGGGAGGTTGGAGAAGAAAGAAGCAAAAAAAGGGAGTGCGTTTGACAAGGTATTTATTAGAAGTTTGGTATTTGAAGAATCAGTTAGTGGTAGTCTATATGTGTGGCATGATGAATAGAAGCTAATGAACATTTTTGTTCCATTTGATGTATTTTTGGATCTAAGATGTCTGATTCTAAGAAGTGAATGTTCCATCTATAGGCACCGTCTAATTCCTTTTTTCATGTTCCAGAATGAGTTATCAGCTATTTTGAGATTTGGGGCAGAGGAACTGTTTAAAGAAGATAGAAATGATGAAGAAAACAAAAAGCGCCTTCTAAGCATGGATATTGATGAAATTCTTGAAAGAGCAGAGAAGGTTGAACAGAAAGGGGCCGAAGACGAAGGAGGACATGAATTACTGAGCGCATTTAAGGCAAGAATATCATAAATTAATTGCGCTAATTCTTGTAGTGGTAATGCATGGCTGCATATAGTTCATTTTTTAATACTTTTACCTCATTTGCAGGTTGCAAATTTCTGCTCTGCTGAAGATGACGGAAGTTTTTGGAGTCGCTGGATAAAACCTGATGCCGTTTCACAGGCCGAGGTCTGCACATATTTTTCTTAAGAAAACTGTTGTTATCATGTAGGCATATTGCTTTGGAGAAGCTAATATATTACATGAGAATGTTTTAAGTGATTACTTATATTTTAATTGTAGGAAGCTTTAGCCCCTCGAGCTGCAAGGAACAGCAAGAGTTATGCTGAGGCCATCCCATCCGAAAGGAATAACAAAAGGAAAAAGAAGGGTGTCGAATTTCAGGACAGAGCCATAAAGCGCCGGAAGGCAGATTATTCTAGTTATCAACCACCAGCACTTGAGGGAGCTTCTGCACAAGCAAGAAGGTGGTCATATGGGAACTTGCCAAAGAGGGATGCTACACGTTTTTTTCGTGCGGTGAGACTCTTAAGCTTTACATAATTGTTATCTTCACGGTACAAATTAGTGGCTCAACTGAGCATTACAACAAGCTTTTCATCCCAAACTAGTCGTGGTAGGTTTTCCTATGCTCCAAAATATAGATAACATTTCATTTTGCCATACTTGGCTCTCCTAACATCCATCCCTGATTCAATTGGTGCTTAAAGAAGCCTACTTAGATATGAGCAAACCATCTCAAGTGATGTTGCCTTTGTGGTGCCTATCTTCCCCAGACATCACTATTCCTCCAAAGGTCAGGTGACTTGTTTTACTTTATAGTTGTTGATATGACATGGTAAATATCCAAGGTTTACAAGTACCATCGTGTTGTAAACTTGACTGCCATGATCTATTTATGTGGGGGATTGCTCTTGGGCTCTTGCCACTGCATACTTTTGAAAAATATGCAACAGAAGGGGTAAGCTCTGCCCATACAGAGGTGAAACGATATCTTGTTCTTGTGCTGACGTTATGTATGCCTCTCTTGTGCGCTTACATTTAAAAAGGTAGCCCACTCACAATAAAAAGAACATAGCCCTTGTGCTGGTACGAAATGTCTGTAATGTTGATTTGCATTTTAAAATATCCATTCACTTATGCTGAAAGCGACAAGGATTCAGCATTAGTGTTCTAGTTTTCTTTCCAGGGTCTTGATTTTCCTCTGAACTCTTAGTATTCTTCAGTTGCATCCATCCTTACATTTTGAATCTTTATTGAGCTTACCAAATGAGGGCCTATCTTTCTCATATTAACAAGGATAGGGGCAGATACATGTTTTGCAGTGTTCATTTGACTTTTCAGTTATTCTTAAACAAATTGTTTTCTCAAGTCTTTTATTATGGTAAACTGTTACTTGTGAAAAGTAGTTGTGTAGAAATTAGTTTTTGAATTTAATGTCCTAATGGACTGTCACTTAGATGATATATTAAGATTATCTGAAATTATTTATTAACTAGTTCATTGGACATAGTAACTAAAGTTGGATTTTATTGGACTTAAACTCTATGAGTGTTATTAGCTAATAACTATTTAATGATAAAAGTATTTACATTAGATTTGTTAGCCTAATGTTTTGGCGCTGTAGGTCTACAAATTTAATAATGTATTAATGAAAACATGTCTACCACAGTCTAAATAATTATTCTATCCTATCATAACAAAAAGGTTCATGGGTGGTCTAGCTTTACTTTGTTTTCTTAGTGTGCTCGCTCACTTGAACTGTTCTTAGTGACCCAAATGGGGGTGGTCTAGCTTTACTCTGTATAACTAGGAGCTTTGTATAGGTTCAGTTGGTTTACGTGCACCTAGATTAGTATGCTTCTGCTGCTGTACATCAAATACGATCTGTATTGTTTTGGGCTGCATCCAACTTATCCTGCTATGATGGTGGTACTCATTTTTTATTCTGTTTCGGTAGCAGTGATAATGGTGGTAGTGGCTGTTTTGTGTTGGTTGATGGTTACAGTAGTATTATACTTTTGTTTGCTTTGCATATTCCCTGATGCTGCAAATCTTTATATCTTTGATGAAACACATAAGTTAACAAAAAGGTCACCGAACTTGATTAGTTGTTATGAACTGGTAGCTTCAATTGGATAAAAAATTCTCTCAACCTAAGACCTTTCATGTTTTCTGTATTTAATAATATTTGGTATGAGTTTATGATTATCTCTTGAAAATATATTTCCACTTACTGCTTTTAATTTTATACTTTTGAGCTTTCTCTTTTTTGGGCTGTTTGTTTGTTTAAAATGCTAAAGGCTGAATGCTGATTTCAAATATGATAAGTAAGAGGCAACATCTAAATCCTGGACCATTCGGATTGTTTGAAAAGTGAGTTGGAATGAAATTGTCTGAATGCATGTGTTAGTAAATTTCTCTTACAAGTTAGATTTTTTTTTGATATAAATATTTGATTAAATAATAAAACAGGATTAAAAATGAAAATTATCAAAATAAATAGTATAAAGCAATAAAAATTAAAATTTGGAAAAATATCAGAAGAAAACCATCCATCCATCAGAATGCGGAATCAAAATCATCGATTTTGCTCTCTTCTACGTGCTCACCCTTTCATTCTCGCACATTCTCTCTCTCTCTCTCTCTCTCTCTCTCTCATTCTGCAATCATCACCAGCGATAGCTAGGCAATAACTCAAGCTGTTTTCATTTGGCAAGACAAGAGCTGTCTTCTTCTACTGAAGCAAAATGAAAATGGCATCGTCTTTCTTTTATCTTGACTGGTAAGATGCTCTTTTTCCAGCTTTTATGTCTGAATGGAGAAAAAAAACAAAGAGACTTGATGCAAAGACGTCCGACCTGATAAGATGTTTTTGCATTGACTGATCTGAAATTGCTAAAATAAACGATCCCTTGGTGTTTAAGTAGTTCTATAGATGTTGGTTATTTTCTTTGACCTGCTTAAACAGTTTTACATAAAAACATTACAAGCAATAGTTTTCTGACTATGTTGACTTCTATTTTATCTGCATTATAGTCTTTTGTTTCACAGTTATCATTAGTTTTTTAGTTCTGTTGTTTGTGCTTATATTTAAGGCTTAATTCTTTTGAACTTAAAAAAGAAGGTATGAGGGTATTTCATTATTTAGTTTTTCTATGCTAAAACCAGGCTAAGAAGTTTGGAAATGATAGCCAAATTGGCTTAATAGCAGCCGAGGTTGGTGGGACCGTTGAAGCTGCTCCAGTAGAGGCGCAGGTTGAACTTTTTGATGCATTATTAGATGGTTGCAGAGAAGCTGTTAATGGAGCAAGTCTCGACGCAAAGGTTGTCATTTAATCAAGTTTTTCAGAATGCCCCATTATTAAATATTTGTGCTTATATTTGGTTTAGGAGTTGTAGTGCTTGTGGCTAACCTTAAACATGATTTCACCGGTAGGGGCCTTTGTTGGATTTTTTCGGTGTTCCTGTAAAGGCTGACGACCTCTTGAGCCGTGTTGAAGAACTTCAACTCCTTGCAAAGCGCATTAGCCACTACAACAACCCAATCTCACAGTTTCAGGCTTTGATGTACCTCAAACCTGCAACTTGGTCTAAAGGTTGTGGGTGGAACCAGAGTAAGTTTTACTTTCTTCTGTGTCTCCCTGTTGCCTGGTTGGAGGATCAATGCTTATGCAAGAGTTTGTGGATGAAAATTATAATATTCTGTGTTGATGTCCTCAGAGGATGATGCAAGGTTGCTACTGGGGATCCATTATCATGGATTTGGGAATTGGGAAAAGATAAGGTTGGATGAAAAGCTTGGCCTTTTGAAGAAGATTGCTCCTGTTGAACTTCAGCATCATGAAACTTTTTTACCACGAGCTCCCCAGTTGAAGGAAAGAGCTTCTCAACTTCTTGAAATGGTAGGTGATGTTATGCTGTCCTTTTTTGTGCTTGTGAACTGCTTTGATAATGATAATTGCCGTGCTTGCATTATTTATTTCAAATCTTTAGCTTTTTATCTTTAAATTTCAGGTTTGTTTGCTTTCTTGTTCTTGATTTATTTTTTGGTTTCTTTGGCTGTCATGTTTTTCATTTTGGTTATAAATGCCACATGTGAAAGGTCAGTTGTAGACATTTAAGTAGACGTATGAGTGCAATTTTAGTTTCATGTGTTTTGGATTTGATTGATCAAGCCTTTCTATTTACAACGATAAGAATCCATAATCTCTCTGAGTTGCTCCTAGAAATTGATGGCCCATCACTTCTTTTACTGTTTATTACATTCTCATCATTCTTAAGAGTTCCCTACCCATCATGATCATTTACTTTTTTAAAATTATTTTGGAGAATGTACATGTAAATTGTCGTTTCTGCATGGAAGTAGCAAAGTATTCATAATGTGGATGATCTTTGGACATTTTTTATGTTACATATTCCTTTTATGTTAAGGTGTTCATAGTTGAAAAGTTCCTCTGATTGGCTTTCATTAATTGACACAAGGAACTTCCTGTGATTGTTTCAAGGAACTTGTGGCTGTTGGGGGTAAGAGTTTTGGGACTAAAGGGGGTCGAAAGGGTTCAAAAAAGCAAAAGGATCGTGTTCCCAACTTCCCAACTTCTCGCAGCAAAAGCAAACAATGGAAACCAGGCTCTCCTGAAACAAAAGTCCCAAAGGGAAAATTCAAGATGACACGTGGCAAGAAGAATGAGCCTTTGGTTAAAGAAGAAGGTGAGATGTCAGACACCGAAGAAGTGTATGAACAGTTCAAAGAAGTGAAGTGGATGGAATGGTGTGAAGATGTCTTGATTGAAGAGAAAAAGACACTGGAGCGCCTTCACAGGTTACAGACTACCAGTGCGGATCTTCCTAAAGAAAAGGTTCATCCTAGTATCTATTTCATTCCTTTAATTGCATCTTTGTTATGTACTCAGGAAACGGAATATCCCATTGGTTGAGTGAGTCTTTTGATTGTTGAAATGTCTTCAGGTTCTTTCAAGAATTAGAAATTATCTGCAGCTTCTTGGGCGAAGGATTGATCAAATTGTTATCGACCATGAGGAGGATCCATATAAACAAGAAAGTGCGTAATGGTTCTTCTGTCCACGTCCTTTCCCAGCTAAAGTTTACCGTCCTAGAATCACATGTTGTGTGTCTGTTATGGCATCTGCCAATATGAACTATAGATTTCTGTTTTCTTTCAAGTATATAATACCTGTACAGACTCATCATCGTTTTAACCCCTTGACCTGATAACGGATACCCAATGACCCTTTGGTTACAGATTTCTATTTCATGGGGCAGTAAACTGATACATTGTTTGTTACATTAGGGATGACAACACGATTGTGGAACTACGTCTCAACCTTTTCAAATTTGTCAGGGGGAAAACTTCAGCAGATCTATTCCAAACTCAAACAGGAAAAAGGAGTGGGTCCTTCCCAAATGAACGGAAGGGGTGGTTTTAGAAATGAAACATATAATCAATCATCAGCGTTACTTAACAAGGGCCTTGATACAGCAAAGTTTGAAGCATGGAAAAGGAGGAGACGAGCTGAAGCAGACTCGAATGCCCATTTTCAGCCACCACTGCAAAGACCTCAGAGTAACGGTACACGTATACCCGATCCAAGTTTGGGAATTCTTGGGGCAGCACCATCCGATAATAGACCCTTTAGTGAAGAAAGGCCACAACGGATACGTCAGGCTGGTTTTGGTCCAAGACAAGGTTTCACATGAGACAGATTGCAGATGGGAGCTTATTGGCCTCACATAATTGCAATACCTGCTGCTACTGCTACTGCTACTGCTACTGCTACTGTTACTGCTTCCTCAAGAATGTATTCCTTTCTTTCTGAAGCATATTCGAGAATGCAGCAGGTAGCGATGTTGAAGATCTGCTTGACAAGAAACAAAGGAATCATGCAACCATAAATGTTTTTTATTTTTTCATTGTAAATCTAGGCACTTTCGTTCGTTTCTCCTATATATAGAGAGATAGATAGTTATAGCAAATCAATTGTATGTATCCGAAATCCGGTTTTGGTTACCAAATATCAGTCTCTTCTTGATATTGAATGGTTATATTTGTATCATAGCATGTTATTCCAACTCTGTGTTCATGTTTCAGATGCTGGAATAGCATCTCTACTTGTTTGCCAATTGCCATGCTAACCTTGTATAGTTGTAGCATTCTGTGATTTGTGAATTATATCATTTAAAAAAAAATCAATATTATAGGAATATTCTTCAAAGTTTGAGGTAGGGTCTTGTAATATGCTTATTTTTCCCTACATTGTTATTTTTACATGCTGATTTTATGGATGGTGAAAACATCTTTCGACAAAAGCTTTAATTTGTCAATTTGTTGTTAAGAAAATGTAACTTTAAGTTGAAGTTTATCGTAAAATTAAAAGAGAAACTTGTTCCGAAACATTTATTTCGGAAATAAGCTTTATATATCTCAGAGACACCAAGATTTTTGTTTTATTTTTATTTTTGATTAACCTAGATATCCAACCCGCTATGCGAGCCGACTAATCCCAGGACGACCACCTGCTTTGCATGTAGCCCGAAGCCATTGCATTTGAACCTCTGTGGCCACAAGGGGATTTCTGTTTCTCCTTGGATTTGAACCTGAGACCTCCTGACATTTTTGACCTTTGAAACCAAGCTCAAACCAATTAGGCACCACCCTTGTGGTTAATTTTAGTTATATTTAATTTGGTTTATTATGTTACTTAAATTTTTTGGAATAGAAAAGTCAATAAAACAAGGGATAGATAGGGAGCAAAACATGAAGATGAGGATGAAAGAGTAGCTCCAAAAAAAAGAAAACGAGATGTTGGTTTGGCTTCCACAACTCAGGGTGTGGCTTCCATGCATTCTTCCTCTCTATCACTTTATCTTCCATTTCAACCTCTTATTTTCTTTCTTAAATGGGTAAGAATCAAGTGGATGTTAATATTCAACTTTTTGATAATAACCGAATAAATAACCAATCAATCTTAGTTAAAACATGTATCAATACGGATAAAAATTACTACAACGTAAAACCGTTTTCTTAAAATGAAAGAAAAACACGTGCATGAACAATAGCTTTCGGTTTTCTCTCAGACATATTGCGTTTCATAACCCGTGTGTATAAAAGAAAACACAAGTTCTTAATTTCTTATCCCAGTAAAAATCACCCATGGACCAGTTCAATGCTACACCAAAGGAATTGGATTTTAAAGGTTCTGAAGACTTCTTGTTCGAGTCTAGGCTGATGTTTATTAAAATTAACAATCAAAATAAGGTGGTGTTTGTATGTCTGAATTCTTATTTTACTTTTGATTAGTGAGAGATGGTGCTGAAATCTGTTATAATTCAAAATCTCTATTTTATCATGGCTGTTTTTAAGTTTTGTTTAAAATAAGAATGGGTAGATACCATTGGAGATAGATATTGTAGAATGAAAATGAAGATAGGATGAGGTGGCAAAAGCTGAAACATATATACATTTGTGTATGTATTAGCCGTAGGATTCGAATTGAGGCTCTGTGGAGTTCTTATCTGATTCTCCTGGGACCCACATCATCTCCCGCCCTCTTATAAATTACCATTCCCCTCCTTTTTGGCCTTTTCATCGGTTTGTCTCCTCTCCTCTCCTCTCCTTCACACAATCAGGTAATAATACTTCATATTATGTTTATCTCTGATATGATTTCATTCATATCTTTAGGGTTTATGTTTGATTTTCTACTACTTTCACATATCTAAATTCATAACATCATGCTTCTTCTTGTTTTTTCTTACTATCGTGTGTCAATTTTGTTGTTCAAAAGTAATCTTAACCAAGTTTGTTTGGTAAAACAAGCCCATGATCTACTGTTTTTGGTAAAAACTAGCTGATAACATAAAGTGACATGTTAGAAAACTAAATTGGAAAAATCTTAGGAGCATAATTAGCTAGCTTATATGGTTGCCTTCGTATCAATTAGGGTTTTTATTTTGTTTTTAGGTTAATAAGTAGTGATAAAAGTTGCTAAATAAAGTTTAAGATCAACTGCTGGTTTGGAGTGGTATTAGTTGGAACGAATTAGATGATTGATTACAAATGTTGGTTTTTAGTAAGATGTTTCATCATTAGAAGCTGAAGCATAAAGTCGAATTATTAATTCATCCAGATGGTGATTTTTATCAGCAGCTTAAGGTGTTATCTGCTTTTACCAAAATATGAATATTTATGTTCAAGAATAAAAATTTCGAATGAATCATCTTATCCGATCTAAGAAAACATAACACTGTTCAAGATTTTCTGGGAGCTTATTGATCAAGTCTAGCTAAACAGTATTCAAGTGCAAAGCTAGCTGAAAGCTGGCAGGAATTAATGTCAACTTCATTAGATGTTAATTTATGTGAATTCTTCGATCCCAAGGTTTTGAACAGATTGAAAGTTACTCCACAAATTTGAAATATGTAGCCACCAGCTTATCTCTAATTTTGTTTTGAAAATAGTAATCTATACAACAAGTCCATGGTTATTGAGTATATACATAATACAGTCAGAGTAAAAATGGTATTTTTAAGCACTAGAAGGTCCCTTTAATACTTGTTAAAACACTGATTTCAACCCTTTTATGGTGTTATATTTTGTTTAAAGGTGGGGCAGCAATGGACTATACTTATGGACCTGGAAGGAATCATCTGTTTGTTCCGGGACCAGTCAACATCCCAGAACAGGTGCTTCGTGCAATGAACCGAAACAATGAGGACTATCGATCTCCTGCAATTCCTGCCTTGACTAAAATTTTACTTGAGGATGTCAAAAAGATTTTCAAGACCACTTCTGGAACTCCTTTTATCATCCCAACTACAGGTACTGCTATCATCCATAGTAATTATACTTGTAAATCACCAAGATTTATCAAGGAACTTGTGAAACATTTTCAATCTATTATTTTATTTGACCATTCTTTTCTGTTTTCTTGGTGTTGACTTTTTGGTACTGCAGGTACTGGTGCATGGGAAAGTGCACTTACAAATACCTTGTCTCCTGGGGACCGAATTGTGTCTTTTATCATTGGTCAATTCAGTTTGCTTTGGGTCGATCAACAGAAAAGGCTTGGCTTCAATGTAGACGTGGTGGAAAGTGAGTGGGGTCACGGTGCTGACTTGGATGTTCTTGAATCAAAATTGGCTGCAGATACTGCTCATACTATCAAGGCCATCTGCCTCGTTCACAATGAGACAGCCACTGGAGTTACTAACAACTTGGCTGCCGTAAGGAAAGTGCTTGGTAAAAAAATCATTTGCTAGCTTTTCATACTAACCACATGACAGTTTCTTTCATATAAATTTGTTTCTTTACCAGAAAAAGCTTTTTCTTGTTTGTTATCTTTTGTTTGTAACTTGTAACTGATCCGGGCATGTCCCAACAGTCGTTTGGGCATGTGTTTGGGTGGTCTGTGCCATGCCTGTTAGGTGTATTCTCTTATTCATTTTCTCTGTTTTGCCAAAGGTTCTGTCCTCTTTCCAAAAAAAAACTGATCCTGTTCTGATATACTATCTGTAAATATGTGGAATTAGTCTAGTAGGAATGTATTGTTGGATAATCCTTTTTCGCTAAATAAATTCACAACCATTGCTACTAAATATAGATTCTTAAAAAGAATTGTGTGCGTGTCCATGAGCTAAATAAATTTTGCATGACTCTCAGATCATTACCAGCATCCAGCGCTGTTTCTAGTTGATGGTGTATCATCCATATGTGCTCTGGATTTCCGCATGGATGAATGGGGTGTCGATGTGGCTTTAACAGGCTCTCAGAAAGCTCTCTCTCTTCCCACTGGTATGGGGATTGTGTGTGCCAGCCCAAAAGCTATCGAGGCTTCTGAAACTGCAAAATCTCTTAGAGTTTTTTTCGACTGGAAGGATTACTTGAAATTCTACAAGATGGGGACATATTGGCCATACACTCCATCCATACAGCTTTTGTATGGTCTAAAAGCAGCTCTTGATCTCATCTTTGAAGAAGGATTGGACAATGTGATTGCAAGGCACAATCGTCTTGGCACAGCAACGAGGCAAGTGTCGTTTCTTTACCTCATGAGGATTTGACAAATTACTAACATAAACTTTCTACTTCATCCCAGGAAAGGCTTGGGATATCCCTGTATATCATTATTACAAATAATATTACCGAACCAATCTATATCCCATCTGGAGGTGGGGTCTGGGGGCATAGGAAACCTCCAGTTTGTGAAATAATGAGGAAATAGAAAAAGGAGAAGGTTCGAAAAAGAACCTGACACAAGAAAAACGAGTCACAAGTAAAGAACATACAAACAGAAGTAGGTACATTATTTGTGAAATATCCCTTGCATGTACGACGTTTAGAGAAACAAGCACGGTTGCTTCTTTATTTACTATAACTTGTTCTAAAAAGTTGCAAAATGAAGCTTCAGTTAAATGGAATTGTGCAGGCTGGCTGTGGAAGCATGGGGCTTGAAAAACTGCACCCAGAAGGAGGAATGGTTCAGTGACACGGTCACTGCCGTGATGGTTCCTCCATATATTGATAGTTCTGAAATAGTTAGAAGGGCATGGAAACGATACAACTTGAGCTTGGGTTTGGGGCTAAACAAAGTAGCCGGAAAGGTCTTCAGAATAGGACATCTCGGCAACTTAAATGATGTACGCATATGCATACCATTTACATCTTTTGTACAATTTCATCCATCTGACAAGTGATACAAACCATTTAAATTCGATATCAAATAACCACAACATGGAACTTACTATTTTTTGTGCAGCTGCAACTGCTGGGGTGTCTTGCAGGGGTGGAGATGGTGCTCAAGGATGTCGGTTACCCGGTGAAGCTGGGGAGTGGAGTGGCTGCTGCTTGCGGATACCTCCAGAACAACATCCCCATGATTCCATCAAGGATTTAAATTGTCATATTTATGTATGTAACCACTGCTCTTCTCTCATTTGCTTCAAATACCAGTGTAAACAACACTCTGCCCCTATATTTCCTATGAATTTTTTCTCCATTTGTAAATTCTACCTCTTCTCCATCATATCCCTGCATATTTTCCATAAGTTATTTATTTATAAAGATTAAACCCAATTTCGTCTAGAATAATGACCAAATTTCACCTGTACAGTTGTGTGCCAAAGTTGGGTTTGAGCTTCAAAGAACATCCAATTCTATCTTTATGTCGATAATTCGACTCCTAAGCTGATGCTCTCTTTTATCGTTGCATCTTTCGGACTATGTCATGAATATATATATATATATATATATATATATGTAAAATGCAAATCAAATGCAACCAAACCTTCCTCCATCTCTCTCTCTCTCTCTCTCTCTCTCCCTATATATACATATATAGTCTTCATACAAGAATGGTATGTACCTATCTAAGAAAATAAGAGAATGGCCGAATCACATGTGATTTTACACTAATATCACATATTCTTTTATCACATGTGATTCAAGTGGTCTTGCCATGCGACCATGGCCACGTGGCCATAGGGCCACCTGCATACTTTTTTGGCTGTTAATGTAAAATCACATGTGATTTTTTGTACGTAATTTGGTCATTCTCTTATTTTATTAAATAGATATCATTCTTGTATGAATCTACCTCCCTCTCTCCCCCCCCTTTATATATATATATATATATATATATATATATATACACCTAATAAATAGGTAACTTGGGAGCCACGTGTCCTGTTTTTGTGCGACGGTTATTAGGATTTCCCGCCTAAACATGTATCTAGACACAATTTACACGGGTGGTTCAAATAGGTCTATTTAATTGACATCTGTCCCTGTAAACATTTATCTTTCCGATATCGTGGTTTAACTGATTTCCTTACTACGCGGGATGTATTTTACTCGCACATAGTTTGGACTTTTAAGTCTGATTAGTACAGACTTCGTCCACCTCTGGTAATGTAATTCCAGAATTGAAATTTAAGTCTGATTGCTACAGACTTGACCCACATATCTACACATCTCTGATCATTAATTGGTAAAGGTATTTCCCAGAGTTAGAAGATAACTCTGATTCGTTGTTTTCCAGACTTATCACATCTAATCATGTGATTCCAGAGTTTCAGATTTAAGTCCGGTTGCTACAGACTTCTCCCACATCTCTGTTCCAGAGTTTAGAACTATACTGAATTATTATAATCAAGGTTCCAGAGTTTAGAATTATACTGAATTATTATAATCATGAATTATCGTGGTTTAACTGATTTACTTACTACGCGGGATGTATTTTACTCGCACAGAGGTCAGACTTATAAAACTTATTTCCCAGAGTTAGAAAATAACTCTGATATGTTTTTCCCCGACTTATAAGACAACTTTGGTCATGTGATTCTAGACTTCTAAGTCTGATTAATACAGGCTTCTTTCTCCTGTGGCAAT